GGCCGCCCTGCCCGCCGCCAGTGCCGCTCGGGCGGGGGGCCCGAGCCCGCCCGTGTGCTCGTGTGCCCCCGGGCCACGACAGCTCCCCAAGGCAGCGCTGTGGGCTCTCCCTCTGGCAGGCATCCCTTGAAACGCTGGCTCGCCCGACTCCGGACCATAAGCCTCACTTTATGGAAGGGAAGCAATGGAAAAATTACGACTTTTATAGGCTCTTTTGAAATAAAATCTTGTTCTGCTCTGGACTCCCGAGTGCTGCGCAATGACTATGGCCATAAGTTTGTATTGAGGCTCCAGAATTCGCGTTAGTTTTTAATTAACTGAGGCATGGTGAGAGCTTAAAACTGTTTACTGGGTATCGCTGCATGCTGCTTCTTCATTAAACTGAAAAATAAAGTTCTATGGAATCATTTTGGCAGGTTTTCCAGAGAGTTTCATGCCTGCAGAGATCTTTATGCAGAACTTTTCCACAGAGCTGTCAGTTTCCTGCAGTCTAAGCTTTGCAGCATGTGCACCAGGATGCCATCTCATCATGGACAGATATCACTGTTTGCTGGGGACCTCCACCCCCCATCCTTTCCCCAATTTCTTAATCAGCTCAAATCTCACATCAGTTGGCTGCTTATAGGTCATCACTGTTACTAACTCAGTCATTCAATCATATCTTCAAAGTCAGCCAGGTGGCCTGTGTTGTCCCATTTCAGGAAACAGAGGTGTTTCACCAGTATGGCACTGCCTCCAGGATGGATAGTGTGCCACACCTGATCTCTATTTTGCTTTAGGCAGATAATCTTGTCAGAGTTGTGTAACCCACCAAAATGGAGAGCATCAGCTCCTACCATAGCTATGAAATGAAATGCAGTTCTCCCCTTACTACAGAATTTTCTAATGAAAATTTAGACTGAAATCTAAAATCAAATTCTTTGATTGACATGCATGGGATCAAAGTAAAGAGTCATCTTCAAGAATAAGAGGAAATGGGACTTAACAAGAAAGGATGAAGTACCTAGATTTCTTCTTGGAAGTTGAGGAATGCCATGGTGATGTCCTATCACCACTTTAGTGGCGATGGGAAGAAGAAAGGGAGATGGTATTTTTTCCTTGCTATTTGAAAGTGTCCATCCCTAATTTCCCTATGTTTCCAGACAGAGTAGCTATCTGGGAATTTGTCCTGCACCTTTGGGAACTGAGGAACATATGGCCTATTTAGAGATGACAGGTGGGGCAAGGATGACTCTTCTGACACCTGCTGTTAGAGAAGCCAAATTAGATTTCGGTGTAATTTATCAGAGCTGGAGGCCACCCCATGTTACAGTAGTTGTCCTAGTTATGCTTATGGTCACAGTATGCCATACTTTTTTATGCTGATTTGTGGCCCACAAAGGGAAATAAATGAATAATGGTGTTTCTAGTCCACCAATAACTGCTGAATACCTAAGAGCCGATATCAAGTGTGAATGAAGACCTCTCACAGGAATTCCAGCAAGTCCAGTTGCCACATAGGCTGTCATGTCTCTGCACATAAAAGTTTCCTCAGACCAGAGCATAGCAGCAGAGATGAACATGAGAGAAGGAAGGTTGTGAAAGGGTTACTCAAGACTTAGTCCTATGCAGAAGTCTCCACCCCATCTGTTAATGGGGGATGTTCAGCACATCACATATTTCTGGGCTTAACTCACAGTATCTTAACATTACCCCTGGGATGAAATATACCCTCTTTTATGAGCTCAGGAGAGGTAAAATAAGAACTTTGGTGAAGTATGCAGAGGTCATCCTAAATCATAAATGAAATTAGTTCCCTCCACAAATGATTTGCCATGTTTTGTTACCATATTTTTAGATTGCCATGATTTTCTATACTTAATTTTTTTGGTGGTTTTTTTGTTTGTTTGTTTTTGTTTTTGTTTTTGTTTTTCCCATGGGAGTTCATTTCTAGGGAATTTTATACTTCTCCCTGCCCTGGTCAAGATTCTAGCATGCAAAGTCAGATTTGTTTTAATTTTTTAGTTTTGTGATTCACCTCTCAGAAGGCTTTTGGATTCTGAGGGAGAAGAACCTTTCTATAATGTTAAGGCAGGGACAAACAGAAAGGAAAACAGAAAAGTATATTTTTTTATATTTATGCCACTCCTTGTGAAGCTTATTTAGAGCAAATCACATGGCAACTCTGAAAAGCCTACTGACACTATATCCTCACCTGGTCTGAGAGTGTTTTTTATTTCATTTCTTTAGATCCTCTTCACATCCACACCTAAGGACACTAACTTGTGAGTAAGACAATGTGGTGGTGTAGCCTCCATAGAATCACACAATAGTTTGAGTTGAGTTTTAAATGTTCACTAGTCCACCCCTCTTCAATGAGGAGGAACATCTTCAACTAGACCTTCAAGATTTTTTGTCTTTGAATAGTAAATCAGATTTACCACTTCACTCTGCACCCACAGCAGACCAGACCATAAGGCTACCTACATTCTTTCTCAAGTGACCTGACCTGGCCTTTGCTCTTATTCAACAAATAAATGAATTCATCATGCCTGAAAGGGAGAGATGCAGAATTCTTGGGGGACTCAGTGTGATGACCACCATCATGGTTTCATAGAAATGATACTAATTGGTCTGCAAGTAAAGTTTAAAAGCAAGGAGCCCAAGCAAGTTCTACTGTTGATGAGCTGAATCTGTGTTTGCCAGAGGTTTTCTAGTTAATCCTCAGAACAAAGAAGGTAGCTTTGTTATTAAAAAATTCTCTGTATCATTACTGAAAAAGCAGCCAGAATTAGTGGTAACTGGTGTGTTATTTCCAAGGCGAGCTGTGCTGAACAGCTGATACTGAGCAGGAGGGAATTGTTCAAACATCTGTCTTTGTGGCAGAATTGGAAGCTTCTGAGATGATTCCACATAACTGCAGATATAAAGAAGAATGAACAGGCTGATTTTAGGGAAAGTGTGATTTAAAAAAAAAAAAAAAAAAAACAGCCACATTCACCAAAAAAGTTTGAATTCTTAGACAGTGCAAGATTTTTCACTAGAAAACAGAACATACACTCTCAGGTATTTCTTTGTAATTTCATTCCATCTGTTAGACTTTTAAGTATTAAGACTGCTACTCTCTTTTTTTCAGTAAAAAGGAATAAAACTGGATGTGTTTCCCTTCTTTTCATTAAAGGAAGGAAGTGAGAAGTGAATATAGACTAAAGATATATTCATGGCAGTTTGCTGTCATTTCACACAATTCCAGAAGTGTATGTAAAATGGAAAGTACAGGCCAATAAAAGTAATTTTCTGAGTTCTATTAGCTGCCAAATGGAATCACAATATACAGTTAGCTGGAAATCTGCACAATTTCACACCTAATTCTACTGGACTGAAATTTTAATTTGCCATCAGAACAAAACCTCTAATTGCAAGCAGAAGCAGCTTATTACATCTTTTATGTGACTCTGACTCACACATTGACCAAACTGTAAGGAAATAATTTTCCTTTGCATAGAGATGATGATCCCACTTGGATATTCTGTACCTAAGAATTCTTCACAATTTACTAATAAGAAACAGAAAATGAGAGGAAATTATCTTCATCTGTTTCTCTCACTCGTAAAGCCCAAAATAGACAACGTGTTAGAGCAATTGCATACCCCTGCACCTTCTCCAGTTAACTCCTCTTGCACAGTCCTCAACTAGCAAGCTGTTAAAGAAAAGAAATGTGTGGGGAGAGGAACTTTTATATCTCAGGTATCAGTGAAAGGATTGTAGTAAATGCAGGGGGGAAAACAGAATAAGAATAGAGTTCAGAGTTAGAAGGGTAAAGGGAAAAATGGGGGAAAGGGCGCCTACTGAGACTCCTCTCTCCAGACATTCATGATCAAAGCCCACCACTGCCATTAGGCAATCAATCTGCAGTTGCATACATAAAACTTTGGCAGTGTATAGTCTCCACTGCTTTCAGCAGAGGCTTTAGACATCTGAAACTGGGCACTCTCCCAAAATTTAGATCCAGTTGCACTGTACATTCCAGAGAAGGCAGCATCAAATCAGAGGCCCTCTTTTACCATGTTATTTTCAAGCTGAAGTGTATAAAATTTTGTGCTCCAACCTCTCTATTTATCCTCTTGGGTTGGCTATGTTTCTGTCCTCCAACTTCATAAAGTGGCACACACTGCTAGTAGGCAATTGCTGGCTAAATGCATTGTTGTTTTAGGAGAGAATACTGATAACTTGTGCCTTTCTTTCCTGACAAATTCTTTCTGGGATCATTCATTTGCCTACTACTTCTTAATTTTGCAAATAGCAATCTACTTTGGCATCACATCTTATAGGTGTTAATGCACATTTTTTCTTAAAGTAAGTGACTCTGAATCTCCTGATTTGTTTTGCTTCTCAGCTTTTAAACCTTTCTGTCTTTTGTGGACATTCTCCTAGACTTCATTCAAAACCAGCACTAGCAGCCAGCCAAAGTTTTAGCAGCTTCCTATTCTTACTCATGCCACAGCTGGAGGTTTCTCAAGCAGCTGCACTGTATTTCTTGCAGAAAGATATACTCAAAGGAATTCTACAGTCACAGTCAAAGTACAGAATGCAGCATCAGTTACTTAATCCTAGTCTATTTACCTATACCTCTAGATCCTTCTGCTTTCTTCTGATAAAACACATCTTTAGAAATAACTTAATCTCTGTGTATCTGAAGAATACAGAGGCTGCCCTACATTTGCTAGATTTTACAGTTACAGAGTATTCAATTTCTTAATACTCTATCTATCTTTCATTCCATTATCAGAAAAAAAGTGCTGTAACTAAATATAGGGGACATTTGCTGAAATCTTCCACAAAAATGCTCTGTGAAATGTGCAGCCTTCAGTGAAGTTCTGCAGAAGAGATCCTTCCGTAAGAAAAAGTCAGAGACTAAACACTACTTAATAGGATACACTTAGAAGTGTGGTGAGATCCAGAGCATGCCCATGAAATCATCTGTTTATTTATGATAAGAAACTCACTTC